AGCCATCGAGGCCCGATGTCTGTTCTTCTGAACCGTCTGGATAACCATGCAGTCATCAACCAGGCCAAGGTGGTGCGGCCCCCGTCGCCCGCTGCCTGATCTGTGTACATCAGACCCTTTGCACAAAATCCCATCATCAGCCGGTTGTTGGACCGGTGAGCTTGTTCCCATCCATGCGCGAACAGAAACGCGATTTGTGTCAATAGTCGATGGTCGGCCAATGGCATCATGCAAGCCGGGCGCCACTGCGCTCGGCTCCAAGCTCAAGCCCAAATCCACCAGAGCGTTTGTCATGACGACATCGCCCATCCTTTCCAAGTCTGCGGCCACTTTCTGATACGCCTCCCGGGCCAAGCATCCTTTGATGCCACTGCCCGAACTTGCAGCGTCTGAAGAGCCCCCGCCTGACAAGGCTTGGTGAATGGGGTCGTAAGACTTGGTTTGAAAGACTTTCTTCGCCAACATCTGAGTTTGCTTCATTTGAAGCAGGAGAAGCCTTTGCGTTGGATCTTGTATTGCCGCCTCTAACTCCTCGAGACCCTGATACAGCTCCACATCTTCTGTGGCCTCGAGCCTCTCCTCCTGGTGAAGGGCTTCCAGGATCTGCTCTGGCCGCTGCTCGCGAGCTGCCCGCTCGTGTGCCCCCAGCCTGGAAGGAGCAGCGCCCGCCATCTGTCGGAGGTGCTCCATGGTAGCCTGAGTAGGGCGGCCCGTTGAAGCTTGACTGAACAACACCCCTGCAGGAGGAGAAGGCTTGGGCGTCTGTCGAAGAGCTGGGGGCCGAGATGTTTGCCCCGTTTCCGGAGTTCACGCCATTTGCTCCTCTAGAAAAGCCAAGCGCTGACGTAGCAAACTCAACTCTTGGCCAGGGTCTTCCTGTGTCGGAGTTGCCGGGAGTAGCTCTTGCTCTGCCGGAGCGTCTTCTCCAGTAGCATAGTCGCCCGCTGTCTCGTCGTCCATGATCTCCATGATCCAGGCGTCGGCGGCAGCTAGGGCTCCATTTTTCCTTGGTCGACATGTCTGGCCTTCGTACTCGAACTTGAGGACCTCGAAGGACACAGCAACCCGAAGGGCAGGGGCCTTCGCAAGCCAGCGTGCCATATCCCAAACCATATCTACCAAGACACATTCGAGGGTGCCCAAAAGACGACCTCTGCTTGTTTCCACCTCCAACTCCACATGGTGCAGAACTGAAACCTCTCCGTCGGAGCTTTGCTGTTGCCCCGAAAACTCTACCACGGCAGGATGATCCGGGAAGACTGCCATGAATCCTCCAGAACGCAACCTGAGGACAAAACCGGTCGCTCGTAGTGCCACACTGTCCTCCGCTTCGGGAAAACATAGGAAAACTGCTGGCAGCGCAGATGCTGCCGCTTTGGCCCGATGAAGGCAAGCCACCTACTGCTGGAGCATGGGTGGCCATGGCCGCCTTGCACCAATGCAGTACGCCTCCGCCTCAGAATGAGTAGGGAAGGCGTGGCACACAACGTCAGGATGGAACCTCGAATGAGGCCCCTTCACCTCAGCAGCAATGAATGTGAGGTAGTGCTCAGTCCACCCAGGAGCAGATGAACTTGGACCACCCCTGAGGATCACGTAGATCTTGTTGGGGAAAGGGATATCAGGCACTCCCGAAACAATTTGCTCGTCCTCCAGCTGTCGACGCGCGGCCACTCCCACAGCCAGGGCCCGTCCGAGCCTGGCTTCTGGTGACCACCTGCAATGGGTGGCTCTCAGGCGCCTGAACAAATGACTCACAGGCTGAAGATCTACCGGGTCAAAATCGCTCGGGATCCGAGCGTCCAGCAAGTCAATCTCCCAGCCAGGCGACCACACTGAAGGCCGTGTTGGAGCTTGAGGTACTGCTGCTTGAGACACCTCAGTGGATCCAGCAGCTGCTGAATCGGTGGCTCTCTCGGAGCCTGCAAGGGCACCCTGTCGGGGGACCTCACTCACCACACTGAACGAAGCAAGGCTGGCAGTGTCGCTGCTGTCAGGCACTTGATGTCGGACAGAACTGCTAGCCTTCCCAATCTGAATCACCAGCCCTCCGAAGGCTAGTGTGAGATGCTGCGCTTGATCCTCTTGGCTGTCCTGGCTCATGCACCTTCACCCCCTCGATATTGGCCAAGTCTTCTCCTTAGCAGGATCAAGGGCTGGCCACCAACCTCAGGCGAAGCAGCTGCAGCCAAGCCAGCGGATGCAAGGAACCGGATCCCTCGCTGACAGGTGGTGGACAATGCCACCAAAGTGCAACAGCACCCCACCACCAAGCCGCTGCAGCAGGCGCTCAGGCCTACCAAACCAAGAAAGGCCCAGGACGGTCCCGAGCAACCACTATGGCTCGGCCAGAAAAACCGAAGCTCCTTAGTGAACTCAAGGAGCAAATCCCACTGCATACGCCTGAGCCGCGATTTTGCTTGACACCACACCTTGCTTGGTGTGCAAGTGATAGCTACACATAATTGGTACCACTACCACGCCCTCAATTTCACAACAGTGGGGGTGGCGAAGCTTGTGGACGAGCCTTGACGTACACCCGAAAGCAAGGAGTATCTGCGTCTTGGAAAAACTATCCGCAAACTTCTGTGTTGTACAAAAGTTTTGACTGGGTTCCGGGCAACACCTCCCGTTTACCCAACAATTGTGTTGCAATGTCAAAAGATGTGTCTGAGCACAATCTGACCAACTGCGGACTGGAAGTGTATGGTGATACTCCTTCGTTTGGCTACGGCCTCTTCTTGCTTCTTGAGCATGTCTTCAGGATCAAACAGGTCCTGACGCAAGCAAATATTCAAAGGCCAACTTGCGATTTCTGAAGACTCTGGTGTGATGCACAAAGACCTAAAAAAAAGTTTGATCCTTCGCATTGCTGACAATCCGGTGCATAATCTTGAAGAGCCTGTAGGTCCTCAGAACCGGACAGCGGCGCGGACAGCGGCTGTCGCCTTTGCGACAGCAGAAGCACCGAGGTTGCTGCCCATGTCTCCTCAAGAGACCCTTGAGACAAAAGTCGGCATTGTCAAAAACATCGTTCTGTCCTGGCCAAAGCAGACTTGCAAGGCAACGCAATGCAACATGGTGGACAAAGACAAATACCATGAAGGCTCACGGATCATGGACAATGTTTGATTTTCTGTCCTGCTCCAGACAACTTCATCTGAAGTTCATAGTTCTCTTCAATGAGCTTCTTGTGAGTCCATCCTGGTTGTGACGACTGCTGATTGCTTCTTCGTAACTTCTTGACAAGCCAATTCAGTTTGCTTCAGATGAGATTCGGCTGCAATTCAAGATGTATTCTCTGAGGTCGTCGTCCTAAGATCAAACAAACCCGGAATTGAATTGTGTGTTTCTTGTCATGCTCATCTCAGATCGCCACCACATATGCAGGTGGATTGAAGAAATAGACCTCGCTTGCTGCGCTCTGGGAACCACTATTAAATCTGAAGACACAAAGTTGTTCTTGGATATCACAACCCAGGCCTCATAATTCTGCACAGCATCAAGCCTTAGATATGCAAGCCTGTATGGCCTTTTACACGCGCAAGAATCATTCTTTGTACAAAATGCCGTTGGGGTTAGTGCTTGGGCATCGTTGTGTGGGAATGAAAACACACACAAAAACAAATATATAAAAACAGTAAACACACCTCCTTCGGGGTATGCTGCCTATCGAGTTCCTATTGTATCTCTCCGTCCAAGTGGCATCAGCTGCTTCTCGGGCTCTGCTGCCAAAATCAGCTGCTCACGAAGGTACAAGAGCTCCTACAATCAGTTGTCGATACAGGAGCAAAGGGCATCGCTACTAGTAACAAGTGCCTTACTAGTAGTAACAAGAAGCTATAGAATTTATATAATTAGAATCCAATTAAAATTACTAGCAAAGAAGGCTACTAGGACCTTCTCTGCTTCTGTTGACACTCCTTGCCTTGTAGTACGCTGTCCGGCATTGGTTCAGCAGCTCGGTCACAGTTTCTGTGCGAGTGTATTCTCGCTCGCCTGATGTTGGGCCAAAGATGGCTAAGGGGTGTTCAAAGTGTTGTACTACCTGGAGCAAATGTCAGATCGCTGCAGCGAAAGGCAAACTTGTGTGCTTGCCAAGGTGCAAAGAGCTTTGAGGCCAAGGACTGATTGCAACGGCACCAAAAGCCGTGGACGAAGCTTTGCCTGCGGAGGCTGAAGAGAACGAAAAAAATCAGTTTCAATCGAACTCTTTGAAGAAAAAACACAAACAGGAATTTCGGGCATCTTTCTTTCTCTCAACAGTGTGCCTCATTGGGGTCTTCAAACACAGTCTCAGTTACCTGGGCCACTGGACATGAAGCGTGGTAGTTGCAATGTCGATAATTACTTGGCTTAAATCAGCTTGTACTCAGCACTACCTCTCTTCCGCCACGAGCTGATTAGACACGAGTGATTTGGGCTGTGGACGTTGTCTGTCTCGTCCTCCTGGTTTGGATGGTCTGTCTCCCGTTGCAACTAAACAATCGAGGGCAAAAAAAATGGAAATCTCTCGAGCTCATCAAGGGTGTATGAAACATCGCCAAGTATTAAGATTCTTAAGCATCCCTTTCGGACAAAGCAATACTTTTATTTGTTTCTTGAGAGGAGCTGAGTAGCTCAGTTCCTATTCGCATTGACCCCAACAATGCGACCCTAACCTGGTCCAAAGGCTCTTCTCCAGCACTCTCAATCGAATACTGAATTTGAAGGGGCCTTGGCCTGCAGAGTCGCAACTTGTGCTCTACATTGCAAAGAAAAAGGCATTCATTAATACTAAGAAACATGCAGCCGCATTTGTACAAGTCGTATGGGCCGAGGGCGGCACTCAGCTTCTTCTTCTCGAGCCTTTTTCCAAAGCTCTTCTGCCGCTGCTGCCCCCAGAGTCTTTGCATCTGCAAAGGTTTACCCCAGATTGCAACGTGCAAGAACACGAACAGAATATGCTATGCTTGGACTATACTTATGTTATACTGGTTCAGGATCTGTGAGAGGACCGGTTTCTTTCCGCAGTGCACTATCAATCAGCGTGCCACTGTGAGCCACCGACTTCATGAAGAATCCCTACAAATCGCCCAGAGCGGCAGGAGGCAGCTTTGCGTCTCTAAGAGGCTCCAGGTCTGTCAACTTAGAACATTTACTCGAGCTTCGTGGACAGCTTCATGAGCTTGAATAGCTTGAGGCAGAGCAGTAGAGCGGCGTAGCTTCGGCAACAAGGCCAGTTGCTTGAGCGGCTCAGTCCATGAAATCAGAGCTAGAGGAACAATAACAACTTCTTCCTTGAAGATTGAAGCCTCTTCCTCACACGTGCTTGTACAAGCACTGCTGTTAACATCAGCCAAACTTATCAAGCGTGTGACATCTTGCAACATGGACATGTTTACTCCAAACAAAGGCGTACGCAACAAGCAGGCTATGGCTAAGGTCCTGATTGGAGGCAGCATCCATACCCAAGGTGCTCCTGATTCGATGTAAGGATACCTCAAGTGTGTTGCTCAAACAGTCCCAATTTCATTTACGTATTCCTACACTGCTCTTCAAAGGCTCTGAGTTGTTACAGCCCAGCGATCTTGAAGGATCTGGCAAATCTTGTTTGACAGGTCACTTTTTGTACTTGACAAGGTCCCGGAGCATCCTGAGATGAATTCGGTGAGCGTCAATCCAATCTCCGTTCTCAGATGTCTTGGCTTCTTGCAAAACAGAATTTGGCAGACTTCTATCCCCAGATTTTGGTGCAGTCAATTGGGCATCCCCAAAAAATTTGCAAAATGTCCAGCATACCCACCTGTTGCATTTTCAGTTCCCCAACGGCATGAAACACCTGAACACGTGAAGATCACTCATCGCAAAGAGCACACTGTAGCTCAACAGCGGCTAAGCCTCTCCCCGTAGGCTTCAGCTTCCTCGGCAGTGCCAAAGGCTCCAACACCAGCGGCTCCTGGGCCTGTTTCAGCTTTCTCTCGACTGCAACCCCTGAGATCTTTTCATTTTGTCACCTCTCGTCCGTAACCAAAGGAGAATGACAACTCCTTAACCGTTGGAGAATGACAACTGCTGCACTGATGCCCCTACTTTTGAAGAACCCCTCATGGATTCGGTCCTCTATCTTCGCCACGACCAGGACCTCCTCCACAAAACAAGCGTGATCTAGTTGTGGATGCTGGTTCACAGGAGATCTGATCGCTGATACCGACTTGCTTATCCAATCCTCTGGCCAAAGACCTGAGACATTTGCTGTCCTCCATCTTGACCAAACATCCCTCTTTGTCCATACCGCGAAGATTGTGACAGTTCACTTCCATAGCGGTAAGAGGCGGGTGCCATGCTGCCCCTGCAAGACAAATCCATTGAAAGCTTAAGTGCTTCTCAATACGAGATCACGCAATCTGAAATATCATACTTGCTCAGTTGCTAGATGATGAAAACCCGAGTCACAAGAATCTTCCTACCACCAAATGCGTCGATTTGCACAGAAGTAAGACCAGGAGAAAAAGAATGAACAAATATGAACAGGGACACAACGGAATCGATCTCGTCTCCGCTCATGACGCCACCTTGCAGACCTTGCACTGATGATTGGGTCGTTTCGGTCAAAGAGTTGCACCTTGGAGCGCCACGAATCGACTGATGTGATCGTAGCTGAGTAATCTATGAGCGCTTCAAAATCCTGAAAACCTACTGTAATAGCGATGGCCGATGGCCGCCAACCTTTATAAACCTGTTGTGTTCTGCACTGTGGACACTTGGCCTGAAAGTCGACCACTTCGTCAATGCTGCGATCTGTGATCTTCTTGTGGACTGCCTGCCGGGTATTTCAGGCGCGGTTTCCGGAGCATCTGAAGCAGCGCCTCTGCACGAACTTCTTCTGGCGTGTCTCTGATTGGGTCGTCTGCTATCCTTAGACATGAACAAATCAAATGACCATTTGATTGTTCAACAAAGCAACACTCACGATAGAACCTTTGGACTTATCTAACTGGCTGATGCGAGCTCGGTGTCACTCGCAATTCCACACGGTTCTTGGCTTTGGCAGCATAACACGGTGGCTTGTAGCGAATTTGGTCACCGCTATCCGGCAGCATGTTCCCTGACAAAAACAGGCAGTGTGGAGCAAACAAAAGGTCAATGTCTTCACATAGCAGTATCAAGCTGTCCTGGGACACCGGTGATTGGCGTGTCTGATGAGTATGTTGCACTCCAAATCACTTCCTCACAGAATCAGGGACGTATAAAACAACTCTTTGTACTGTATATAATATCATATATAACTATTAATATATATATATATATGTGTGTGTCTGTTGTTAAGAGTGCTTCTTGGCCATCACAGTCCTTTTCACCTTGACCGTTCTTGCCAAGATTGGTAAGCTCAACGTTGACATTCCTGCAATCTTGCGGACTCCCATGAACAAGAACTATCACAAACAAAAATACACCAGGAAGACAGGAAGGTCTAAAGTCTAAAGTTCGCAGGAATTTTAATTCAAACCGCAGGAACAAAGGTGTTTCTTGAGTATCTGACTATCTACTCACAAAAAAAAGCAAAACTCGATGCATCACAAGAGTCTTCACCGGAAAGCGGAAATAAATGGCAGGATGATCGTCCGGTTGAAGCTCGTGTGTTGGAGCTCCTTCTCTTCCACAAAAGAACCTTTGCAATTGTGTTCAAGTATCTTCAATCGCTCAAGGGTCCTTTGTCACCGTCACCTTCCATTTGCAAACCATTTAGACTTGGCACTGGTTAGTTTGCAGTGTCCAAAACGTTTGTAGGGGCAAGAGACTTTGGAGCGCGCGAGTGCTTCAGAGCCAGGTCAAAGGTCGTGATGTGATTCTGTGATATGTATGAAACATGCATGTTCAATAAGAAGCAGCAACATGAACAAGATTCATCAGGCTCTTGCAAAGCTGGAGACTTCAAAAGGCCTCATGGTTTTGAGTTTTGACGTGAATGCGCCTGGAGACTGCTGTGAAGACCCACAGACTCTCCAATCTGCCTTACCCTCAGCTTGGAAGTGCTGGCTTTGGCACCTGTGACTTCCTCTGGCTGCATTGTCAAGCTTCAAATTCTTGCACACTTTGCAAGGCTTGACTAGGAACAAGGATGCTACTAGGAGCAAAGGGCATCGCTACTAGGAGCAAGGACGCTACTAGGGGCTCCTGGCCTTACTGCTAGGAGCAGGGACGCTACTACGAGTTCCGCACACGGGCAGCAGCACGACTCTGGAGGCAGCTTCAGCTCCGCCTTGTACAGGGGATCTACTGACCCCGGCGGTGGGTACGGTGTTCAAGATTCTGCTGGCCAAATGCCCCACAAGTTGGGTTTTGTGAAAGAAGCTTAGCAAACAAATGACAAGTCCCAATGAGTTTCCTGTCCTGGTTCCTTTGTGACTTCAACCTCCGTCTTGTCCTTCATTTCACCTGGTGCGGCCGGCACTGTGGCATCTTCTGCATCTGAAACTCCGCCCGTGGAGCTCGCACCTTCGTCCTCATCACCGGTGAGATCAGCGGAGCGCTTGGCAGCTCCCCTTCCTTCTCCACGTTTGCCTCGAATCCCTCCACTACCTTCGCTACTGGCTCCACCACTGGCACCACCAGCTCCTTCGTCAGCTCCTTCATTTCCTCCAGCTTCGGCCTGACATGTGTTGTTGTTTTTTCAGAAAAGAACAAGTAGAGGAAAGGCATTGAAACAAGAATATGCTTGGCCCCTGTAATGCCCCATCAATAAGGCCCCGAAGGCCCTTGAAAGTGGCCTTGCTGAGGGGCCCTTACCTTCTTTGTTCCCTTTCTTTTTATCTACAACTACACTGTCCGTTCCTGGCACTAACTCAGGCTCTGACCAGGGGTTTTCCTCTTAAGGAATCTCGCTCACGACTGCAGGCCAAAGAAGAATTTGAGCAAGTACTCTGAGCGAGAGAAACCTTTGGGATCTAGAAAGTGCAGGCACAACTCGTGAAATCAGCAAATCCACCTCGCTGTCATTTGACTTTTCAGGTCTTCGGCAGTGAGCTTCGCTTCCCAACCTTGGTAAATTACGGTTGCCAAGTTGGCTACAAGCACAGAACAAGTCCAAAAGGAACTCTCAGGAGCCATCTGCGATGGTTCGCGTGGTCCTCCTGACCAAGATTTTGAATGCCATTGCCACTAGATTACTATATGCCGTTGCCAGATGGATTCTAAATGATGATGGTGAGGAGCACTGAATATTCTGAATATGCAAAATCAATTACAGTACTCAATACTCAAATTGAAAGGATTTGAAAGGCGCCTCTTCTGTGGCACTGGCTCTGGCACTCTCCGATGAAAAGTGCCCCGGCGGAGCCTGTGGGTCTGCAAAGTGCAGAAAACCACTGGCAGGACGTCGCCCCTGGCACCGAAAGTGATTGACTCCAATCTGACAATGTCATTCGTGAAATCATTGATCATCCTCAAGGACCAGCCTGAACAAAGAACGCACCCGCATGCTGTTTGTCCCGCAGCTTATCCATCTCACGACTGGCACCATTTGATCAGTGAAGGGATAAAGCACGTGCGAGTTGCTTGACTCCGCTTGTCACCAAACAAACAGCTTCCATCACCTAGCTTCCATTTGATGTTTCACATCCTTCGATGAAAGCTGCGACTCCCAGCCTTGGCACGACCAAACCATTCAATTTGTGGCCAAGTTCACGAAGAAATGTGTTCTTTCTCTTTATCGAGAAACATACACATTGGTTTACTTGGAACACGTCGATTTGATATACTCCCGAGCTTTTGACTTCTATGGTTTGCCTGATCATCCTGCAAGTGCGGCAGGTGCCCGCTACACTTATAATATCACGGTTTATGAGGGTTTAGGCTACTTCCCTGTGCTTCAGCGCTATGATTGACCAAACTCAGAGGTGTCGCCACTTGGTCCCAAATGCACTCATGTTGCTAGCATTCTCCAAGTGGATCCCCTGCCTCTGGCAGCGGTGGTAAAGACTTCAGCATCTCCTGGCATCCAAGACTTCAAGTGCCACACAGGATTGAGTCGTACCTTGTGATTTGGCAAAAGACACGGACTTCCACACCTTGGCTTTTTCCTCTATTTCCTCTCTTTCGTTTGCTTCATCCTCCTTTTTTGCTGCCTTTTCTCTTTCCTGCACCATGATAAGGGTGTAGCGGAAGGCTTGCCTATGAACACTCCCCTGTCGCCCTCCCTCAGAGCCTCAGCCTCCTCCTTCTGCACCTTCTTGGTCTCCATCACCTGCTAGACAGACTCATAATTTGAAGGAACATTTGGGTGGCCGTCACGTGCACTTGTTTTGACTAGTTCATCAGGGCCTGAAATTCGACTTGTGAGTACTTACAGTAATTGGCTTCAAGAATTCCAACACAATCATATCATGCCTTCTCCTCTTCAAGCTTCTTTTTGGAGGCTTCAGGGACCTGTTCAAGCAGATTTCTCTAGGAATGTTGTGCCCCGAAGAATCGATTATGTATAAGAAGCATTAAGAAACCAATCATAAAATCCTGTGCTGAGATAAATGCTTTGAATAATTGAGCGACTTGCTTGTTGCTTAGTGTTCGTCAGTTCTGCAGCATGTAGTCACGTAGTCTAGAGTTTTGACTTTCTTTGGCGAATTCGAAGCTTACTCTGGGTAAGGTCGGGGGTTCTGGGAAATATCTGGGACTTGTTTGTGACAAACTCTACCTGGAAATCTCCCTACTGATGTTCCCTTTCTACAGCTTCCAACCAAATCCCCGAGGAAAATATCTTTCAGCTTAGCACATAACACACAGCTGCGTGTCAAGCAACATGGACAAAGGACGGGTCAGCATTACATCACATATGCTGGTTGACCCAAACCTTTTTCTAGGGCCACCAGGAAGGTCTTCGCAGTACTTCCTACCATCAGGAGGAACAACAAAGGGCCTAGCAGCACAGGGCTCTTCTTGAAAAGAAATGACGAACTTTGAGCCGAGGGCCTTTCTAGCCAGCCTACCCTGAATAAGTGAAAGCTCTCCCTGAAGCACCTTCGGCTCTGGTACTGGATCAGCCTGACAGGGCGAATCCAGCTTTCCTAAACACTTTCTGGAAAGCCACCACGCACCAACCGACCTCATTCTCAGCATCTTCATCTTGGTTGCTGTCATTGTCCTGCCCGTACACACTGCCAAACAAAATTGCTGGGATAAGATTGATAAGATCATGGGATCATCATTGCGTCAAGAGCAAAGAAACTATAGAAACACAGCAGTCAAACACCTGATCGTGCTGTCCTTGTCAATCGTTGGCTCGCTGGGCGACTCTTTGTCATGGTGCTTCACGTGTGTGTCCTCCTGGTTTTGATTGGTTGGGTTTGAGTTTTGTGTGGGGACTGGCTGTTGGTGTGACCCTCCTTGCTGCTGCCACCCATGTTGTTGCTGGTTTGGGGGTGGGTGTTGCTGCCACCCGTTTTGTTGCTGGTTTGGGGGCGGGTGTTGCTGCCACCCGTTTTGTTGCTGGTTTGGGGGCGGGTGTTGCTGCCACCCGTTTTGTTGCTGGTTTGGGGGCGGGTGTTGTTGCCACCCGTTTTGTTGCTGGTTTGAGGGCGGGTGTTGCTGCCACCCATGTTGTTGCTGGTTCGGGGATGGCTGTTGCTGCCAGCCATGTTGTTGCTGGTATGAGTTAAAGCTGTCAAATGTCAACGCACCTCTGCCACAGTTTGCAGTTGACCTAGTGTCACTCCAAGGGAAATCTTGCCATAGCCTATCTGCCACGCCGTGCTTCCCCGACCTCGATGCGCTTGTGGCTTGAAAAGATGAGGCACAGCTTCCGAACTCAAGGCACTGCTTCATCCTCGGTCAATGCTTCCAGATGCAAGTCGCTCAAGTGAAATTCTGAAGGCATCCAGGGACTCTGCGTGAACCAAGCACCTTGAGCCCAATCGCCAGAATCGTCATGCGCGGTTTCAATTCAAAACAGTCAGTTTGGTGTATTGATTTGCCCACTGGGTGCTGTTTACTGGCAATTGGTCTGAATTGGCAAGGGCACCCCTAGAGTAGCAAAGAACACAGTAGGTGCTTGGCACTTGCAGGTGACATGTTATGCGGTCATTGAACCCGTGGCTGCCACAGACAAAACATTAGTGCTATTAGACCAAATCAGTGTGTCTCAAGGCACATGTATGTTGTGAACTGCAAGATCATCCAGGACTGGTTGGGCGCAAGGAATTTCAAGAAATGGTTTCCTGCCTCTAAGTCTGCCCGAAAGAGGACCTGCATTGATGCAAAGAAGAGCCTACAACATCCTCTTGGGAATTCCAGGTGATGGTAGTGCCCCTGATTTTAGAGACCTAGACCTGTTCTGGGGGTCCAAGTGAAAACCCATACAAAACCACTTCACTCTAAAATGACGGGGTTGACCCTTAGGATCCACAAGATTTGCCCCTCACCTGGCCCACTCTAAAGTCCAAAATCTGACAAGCAGGAAGCTGATGAGATACATGCAAGAAGTCTTCAATTCTAGAAAGAAGCATTTTAGAGTCAAATGACTCCAATTTAGAGCGATTTGATGTGAATTGTTGTGATTTGATATATGATTTGATTTGATTCCGCCATATCCATGAGCAGCTTCTTTTTCCAAGTTCCCACTTGGTCAACTGTTGAACTATCAAATGCTACCAAAAGGATGCAAAAGGTATTGGCATGATATTTAATGAGATCTCAACTGGAACGTTGGATCGGGTTCCGCACAACTGCTCTGTGTAACCTTTTGCTCTGTTATTATATGTTCTTATGATATTTTCTCCTTGGACTTCTATGGAATTCTAGTGTAAATTAGCGTCTTCTCATGTCATCTCATAGAAATGGTAACCTGTTTCCATCTCAACAGCATGGTTGAGCAAAGCAAGCAAAGCGGTAGAAACGGGCCCTCTAGAATCAAAACCCAATGTTGCACTCTCCAACTCACTCTCTCTAAAATGAGACTGAATTCTTTGCACTCACACCTCTTCTCTGTAGAATTAAAGTTTGCACATGCACATTGCAAAAAGAAATTCTCTAGAATTGTCCTAATTTTTGTGTTTTTCCATGTTGACTCTTTCCCAAATCTTTCTCTAAAATATAGGATCTTGAGATATCCTGAATCAATGGCAACAGAAAAAATAGTCTTGATTTTATAGTAAAAACATTCTTCCCTAAAACTGCGCTGATTCTGGGGCACAAGCCAGGGGGATCCTACAACGCCTTGTTGAGGCCTGCCCATGCCTGGCCTCCAGTCATGCGCCTCAGTACATTGAAGGAGTTTCAACATCTGAAAGATTGCGAACCGCTTGTGAAGAAGAAAAGCGCCACTTGGTGTGTCAATTTCTTTTGAACTTCAGCAAATCTGAAGGAAATGGAAGGAAAGGCTGTGCAACCTTCTTTGAAGTTGCTGGCCTCGTCCTGATCTATGTACTGGTGTATACTGGGTTGCCTGAACCTGAAAGGCATTCATCTGGAACACGTTGAAGGACAATAATGTCTCCTGAGTTCAAAACATGCACAATAGTACACAATGCTAAAAAGCAACGAGCAGCTGTTGAACACAAACATGTTGAAAGATCGCTTGCTGAACTCAAGACATGTTGCAAAATGGCCTATAGGCCTATAGGAGAACGGTTTCTGAAACAAAGAAACGAACAATGTCACCATGCGATTGGAGCTTCCAATGACTTGTCCAGCCTCCCCGTCTCGTCGAATGTTCACTTCTTTGACATCCACCTTCTCAAAACCCTCCGCCAGCTTCACAATGAAGCTCCGAGAATGTGCAAAGCGCTCTGAGGCTCTTTCCACAACACCATCTGGAGCCTCTTTATCAGTGGCAGACTCAGTGGAGAAAGCCAAGATTCCACCCACCGAGAGTACTCGCTTGGCCTGTTGGAACAAAGGCTCTATACAGCAAAGGTACATCACAACATCAGTGGCCACTAGAAGATCACAAGAATCTGCAGCTTGCTTTCGAAGGTGCGCCACAAGGTCTGCACAATGCACTGCATCGTATATTTCACGGTCCAATGCTTTTTCAACCATGCGGGAAGACAAGTCAACCCCTTCTAAAACATCGCAGCAGTTCCTGATAGATAGGCCAGTGAGCCCAGTACCACATCCCAGGTCTATGCAACGCCGGAAGCGTCCCGTGGGCAAAACGGACAGCAATATCTTCGGGACTTCATACCCCAAAGAGCTCAAATGCTCATCAAAATCGTCTGCGTAATCGTCGAATAACTCCTCGACGCACTGCCGATGTCGAGCTTGCAGGACCAATGCGACAGTGTCACTGTCGGCCATGGCTCTGGCGGCTACAAAAACACGAGACTTTACTGCATACTTGGAAAAGAATCCGACACGTTGTCACTGTTTTGCTGGCATGTTGGAATCTAGAAAACCCATGGCCAAACATGTAAAATGTGTGTTTGTGCCTCTCAACTAGCTCTGCCAGACTAGAGGCACAACAACTACTTGGTGGATCTTGGTGATGAGATCTGTCAAAATTAGTATATACTTATTGTTTCTTGGATCTTGTTTCAGAACCAATGCATCAAGGTGCACTCTTGCTGGAGTGCAAAGATTGACACATGAACGTCGTTGTTTACAAACACATCATCAGAATTCACCAGGGCCCGAACGTTCTAGCATCACAGTGGCCACTTCGTCTTCAACCTCAAGCAAACAAACAGGTGGCCATCGGAGTAACTCCTCTCGCCTCACTGAGCTGCTCCACGATCCCGTGGCCCAAATGACGCACCTAGAGCGACTCAAAAAAGGCACTGCAAAGGAACAGCGAGCGCTGGCCTCCAACCTAGTAATGATGGCCTCCAACCTACTAGGGGTGGCCTCCAACCTACTAGCGATGGCCTCCAACCTAATATAGCGATGGCCTCCAACCTACTAGCGATCTACTAAGCGATGGCCTCCAACCTACTAGCGATGGCCTCCAACCTACTAGCGATGGCTTCCAACCTACTATATAGCGATGGCCTCCAACCTACTAGCGCTGGCCTCCAACCTGCTAGCGGTGGCCTCCAACCTACTAGCGCTGGCCTTCAACCTACTAGCGCTGGCCTTCAACCTACTAGCGCTGGCCACCAACCTACTAGCGATGGCCTCCAACCTACTAGTGATGGCCTCCAACCTACTAGGGATGGCCTCCAACCTACTAGGGATGGCCTCCAACCTACTCTAGCGATGGCCTCCAACCTGCAAGGAATTTAGTTGTCAATGAAGAAACTGCCCAGCTTGCATTGATGAGCGCCCAACTTGTCATCGCATGACAGAAAAGGCTTGAGCCAAGGCAGCGAAAAGTGCAGCCGGACAATGCCACACTCAAGGAAAGAGAGGACCAACAGAAGCAGAAGGTTTGGCATGGCTTGGCGTATTATCGTCTTGTAACCACAAACATGCCATGAGCAGGGCCATGAGTCATCAAGAAATATCAAGACCGAGCGCCTCCCTCACTCGCTTAGTGGACCTTTTGGGTCCGGCAGACCCACATCCCTCCCATTGGAACGTCCGATTCTGTGGCCACTTGCACAGATCAGAGGGCTGAATTGGGCTGACAAAATCCCTCCACGTCCACTTCCAAAACGACAGGGCATCCATTTCAATCTTCAGGCCTCAGTAACAAGTGAAAAACCCTAAATTGAATGTGGTTTCAATTGTTTCACACTGCTGAAAATTCCATTGGTTGTCCCCTGCCCGAAGGATGCAATACCCCATGATTCCCAACTGTAGATCTACAAATGCACGCTTTAAGACTCCGGCGTACGGTGAGCAAAGGCCCTTTCCTCAAGGTGAAAAATTGGCCAACCAAAGGCATGGGCATGGGTACGGGGTGAAGTGAACATGGAACACATTCGTGCTCAGGCAAACGAAGAACATAAATTCATGGGACCGATTTTATTCAACTACTAGTAACAAGTGCCACGCTAGTAGTAACAAAAAGCTATTAGAATCAAAATCAAATTAAACTTATTCAACCTACAAATCAATTGCGAACAACACATTTGCTTTGTGGGTTTGTGCACAGCTTGTCGGCATAGCCAGCTGGCATGCTTTACCTCCCGAATCTCCCCATGTCCTTTGCCCTCCGCAGTGGAGGCCACCACTAAGCCAACAATCAAGCCGTACAAGCCAAGGGCCTCCATGCCAAAAGAGATAGTAGCATGAACATGGACATGTACACGTTTAAGAGTAGACATGCATAGAAATGCTTCTTAAAATGTCTTGAATATATAATTGTTGCAAAGATGTGCGTTCACCATGAAAAAAAGACAACTCCCTTATATCCCTTACATCGCCTCACTGCGGAGAATTCAGCAAACATCTTGGCTTTTTGGCCTTTGCCTCAAGTTGTATACCTTATAGCCTTATAGGTCTTAGTAGGTCTCAGTGCTTCTTGGTCTCAGGTCTTGGCTTCAAATTAACTGCTGTGCCTTTGTGCCCTTTATGGCTGTGCCATGCTTTGCCATGCTGTGCCTCTGCGAAGATCAAGATGAGGATCATCCCCACGAAGAGTCGTGGCTGCTGGGCATTTGCTCGCACGCCGGCATCGCCTACGATGCCAATTGCGAGTCCTGAAGCGAGCAGCCAATGGTGAACTACAACAGACAAAAACAAAGACAAAGTATAGGCTTTACGGTTTGTTTGTTCTCTTTCGTCAGAAAAGCACAAGCTACACTTGAAGTCATCCCCTCCTGCAGCTAAAGAGCTCATGCCAACAGTGAGCCCTGACGGGCAGCCGGAATCTTAGGAGAAAATAACTATACAATATAATATATATATATAGTATATAAGCTTGGGCTCCTGTGTCAAAACTGTTCAGGGTCTAAGATTCAAGTCTGCCTGTTGAATGCTTGAACATTTGGGAGTAGATTCGTCAAGCCTGCCCCTAAGTGGGCATAGCCCGAGTAAGCAGAATAATTTGCAGCATCCATCTTGCCGTTGATGATCACCTGCCATTGCAACACTGGCGTAGTGGGAGTGCATGTCCTCAGGACCCTCAGCTGCTTCAGAGATTTTCTGAGTAGGCTGCTGCAGTGATGAGGCCATAGATACCCAAGACTCCCGCCTAGGCAATTCACGGAACCAAAGAAACCGCGGCATGTGAAGATGTGGGTGAAGGGTTCACGGTTTGCACAGCAATGTTGCATTGGTTGAGTTCATCTTCGAATAGCAGGATTCAGCAACACAAGCTCAGCAAGTGCAGCCGGGAAGACCATAACAACTGGAATGATCGACCTTGTGGGCAAAACGTCAGCAACACACACCTTGACTTGCTTCCTGCTTGGTCTCCATGCATTTCCAGCGGCAGGAACTAGCAAGAAACGCATTATTGTGAGTTTGAACACCTATCCGATGCACCCAGAAAATGCATCAAAGAAACATAAGTGAAAGTGTAGCAGCATAGCAGCTCGAACACTAATGATTGGGAAGAAAATGTGTTGTTTTTTGTGTAAACATCTAGAAACCAAATCATTAGTTCGAGCGCTTCTTCAAGGAAGCTTCCCCGCCGCCCTAATGGAACTTCCTTGAAGAAGCGTGAACTATCCAGCGTCACCTCTACTAGCGGCCTACTCCCTTTAAAAAGAAAAAACAACAAAAACGTGCGTGTTGTCCATTCTGTTTTTGCTGCTGCCACGCCACTTCATGATCATGTCAGGTCGCATGACCTTGGTGTAGAGGGTCACGGTCATTCTTAGAAACCAATTTGGTCTACTACAAAAAGGAATAAAGAACAAATGGAAGAAGGTAGGGGCCTCATTAAAGGTGCCTTTGCCTTCTTATTGTCCTTTAATGAACTTTTACTGGGCATACTTTTCACATCATGCCCACAGTTTTTGCCAAGGTGCACCCATGGATGCGATCCCAACACCTGCTGTTTTTCTCACAGTTTACAAACTTCATTCTGTGGCGAAAACATGCGAAAACTCAAGGGCTGCCACTGCCAAAGGATCACTGAAACTTCTGAGCTGCAAACAGCTGTTGAATCCAGCGCCTGATTTTGCTGTTCCATATGCTGCACCCAGGTTTGCGAAGACCAGGGCAGAGGTGACTCCCATGAACCTGTGGTTCACGATGTACGAGAACCAAACCTTTTCTTGATGCACGAAAAAACATGAGTCTAAATTTCTAAAGGCAGATAAACCACTCCCGCTTTCCAGTTCAGGCTTTGTGGGAAGACGCTTAGCCAAGCGGGGTAGTGTTCCGAGCACTCCCACCACAAAGCTCTTAAGGTCAAAGCTGGATTGATTTGCTGTCTCCACTCGAGTCCTCTATGCCCATTGCCCAAGTAGCCCTTCATGATGCTAATGATGCACTACTCGGCGTCCATTACATCACTCGCATCACCAAACCCCATTTTCACTGTTTTCGGACCCTCGCTTTGGAGCGCTCTCCCCCACCAAGCTCTGCGTCCACCCTATCAAAAGGTCCTTCTTAGCGAACACCCCACCCCCACACCCCCTTAACTCACTTCGTTCGCCCTAAAAGCTCAAGCCTTGCCTATCGGCTGACTTTCGTAATACAGTATAATCTAGGAACCAAATCTAGCCACCTTTAGGGTGGTGGGAGGAGCTTCCTTGAAGAAGCGTGAGCTATTACTATATCTGCGCGAGCTTTCCTCTGTCCAGTAGCTAGTAGCTCACTTAAGCTACCAGCCTACTTCTTCCTATAGCGGCCTACCCCCACCCCCGGGATCAAAACTTACAGAATAACAGAAAAAAAAACCATTTATTGTATAAACAAAACAAAAGAACATATGTTCACAAGCGATCGGATTCTCCAAGGAAACTTGCTGGGAGAAGCTTCCTTAAAGACCCTTCGCACGGTCCAAACGGTTCTGATACTTATTGGGGAAAGAAACAAAGTAAAGTACAATCAAGTACACTAGATACACTAAGCAAACTAAGTAAACAACTGAACACTGCGTGAAAGTTCATCTCACAGGTTGTGTCTACAAGCAAATGCACAACGACAGAGTGAAATTATCACCATGAAAGCCAGTTCATCTCATGACCATTTGCACCTGGTCAGAATTCATTGACAACACAAGTAACGATAATGCAGCTGTGGCTCCCAAAGAAAGCGGACGATGGATCGCACTGCCTTGTAATTAGTAGTCAAATGCATTTGCAACACAATCCGGTTTCAGCTTTTTGCGTTTGCTGAGTTCACATGACTCCACGGATGTCCAAAACGTGGATATGCTATCAACTTGTGGTGACTTCAGGCCGTGGTTTGCAAATTCTTTCTTCCGCAGTGCGTGTCGGGACGATCTGCTCCTCTTTTCCTCACAATTTGTGGGTGCTATCTGCGTGTGAATAGCTGGAGCCCTTAAGAGCCGGTTGCCCCGGTGCGT